TTTATAGACCTCTTGAAGATAATATTTATATTATTACACTGTAAAAATATGCTTAGGTTTTTGTTAGAATAATCAAGCGATAATTACCCCCATATGGTGAGTTAATTGCACTTTTTAATAATAGTTGTACTGGCGAGTGGTCTTATTTCAAGGTTGGCTTAAATTTAATGCAAATGATAAGTATCCTGCTCAATATAATGTAATAAATAAGCTTATATGAAAAGAAGATTTAGGTTAAATAATAGAAAAATTCAAAAATTCGAAGATTCAAAACCTTTTCGTAATTATTTATTCAGTTTAGTACAATAAAACTTAATAAAACTAAATTTGGTATTTTAACACATTTTTTAACACATAAATATCCGTTCATCGTTATAACCATTTGTGTAATGTTTTGTTTGTATACTATAGTAACCGCGATGGTTGCTTCATTCATTCATAAAAATTCAAGGTAAATCCACAACAAAAATATTTTTATACAGGCACTTGTGCAACGAATTTTAAAATTTAAATGTAAATGTATAATAAGTAGGCGGATTAAGTTATTAATAATACTTTTTTATGCCACTTTAAACCTTCAAAAGTTTTCAGGCAAATTATTATTATTTACGGTTATAAAGTGGTTTTAATAAAGTAAAAATATAACTTATAGAGTAAAATTTCGTTTAGGGGACATTAATTATTTTTCTGATAATTTGGACGCCCCCCTCCCCCTTGGTTAGATTTACTATGTCCCTAAATGTACTATACCATGAAAAATAATTTACTATTCTAATTAAGGCTTTTAGACAGACAAATGCAATTAATTTGGCTTTGGTGGTGCGTAGATGAGTAAAATCATATAAAAAGTAGTTAAATATTGGTGACCACGGCCCAGGAAAGTATTCCTAGCGGATAATAATCTTCGCTTTTAAAAGAATTTATATAATACCTTTTGACATAAGAAAAAATATGCATTAGAAGTTTTTTATATTTTTTGTGATACGCCACTGGTTACACATTTTTCTTTGGTTATGTTAAGGGATGTTACCTGTTGTTCAGTAACAAATTATTAACAAAGGTTAATGCGTTAAATAAAGCCAATAATATACAGAACAAGCAATAAATTAACAAAATAAAAACTTCCTATAATTTAAATATTTTTGACAAATTGACAACAAAATCTTACTTAACGCTTTATTCTTAAATGAAATACACTATAATGAGAGTGTTTAAGGTTAGTTTAACAACATAAATATACTTAACTTAAGTTAAGTAATAAATCCACAAAGCTCGACTATTTAACTAAAAATGTTGTTTTGATAAATATCATTACTAACCTACATAACGGAAATCCAATTGTGTGCAAGTAGCACCCTTACGCTCTGGGAAACCTTATTTATTACATTTTGTATTATATTCTCATTGTTTATAATATACTTTCGAGTATTAATGAAAGTGCGAATAAACAATAAGCACGATTATGTTCATTCGTATTGTTAATAACTTTAATGAGTTTATTAAGGCTGTATGCATAACTAATTAGAGCTATAAATAATAATTGTGTACCAAAAAAATGTATCTATTCTAAACCAGTTTAGAAATGAATAAATATAAACAGTTTAGCAAAATATAAATGTTGAAAATAAAATAATTATAATTTTTATTAAAATCTCTTTTAAACTCGTTTCAATATTTGCTTCTATGAAGTTGTTAAATGTATTATTAACATGCGGGTAACGTTGTTAAGGAAGATTTTATTTCTGTACTTTCAATGCCATATTGGCTGCCAAAAAATGCACTGTGCAAAGGGCAACAAACTTGCATGCAAGTACAACGCGGCGTAAATTTGCCACTCCAAAAATAACGTTGTCACTTTTTTCACATTTATGTTTAGGCGATGCAGTGGCGGCTCATCAGGGTAGGCCTCTGAGGCCAGGTCTCACTCTCAAAATGAACGATCTTTTGTATTTAGAGCTTTGAGGCAATATTACTTAATTTAAGTAAATATTTTGTTAAATTAACCTTAAAAAATTACTTTGAAGTAAAACTGTTTTTAAAGTTATTTAATAAGTTTTATTTATGTTATTTTTACCTATTTTAATAACCCTTAAGTTTCAACACTTTAAAGTATTATGAGGGACGTAATTTTTACGAAAGAAAATTACTTATAAGTGTATTTCACCTAAAGTAAAATTTAACGGTAATTTTAACGTTAGAATTTTTACTTAATGGTAAATGTTACTCATAAGTAATAATTTTATGATATTAAGACCACTTTATAACCGTAAATAATTCCTATTCGCCTGGTATTTTTTAGGGCTATTGGTGGTAATAAATACTATTAATATTGACTAAAAAAGGAAAAATAAGCTTAAAGTGAAAAATAAAAAAATAATTCAGGTCGCCATATTGAGTTTTTAAGATGGCATCCATTACTTATCTAAACATTTATATAAAATTTTTCATAAATATTTTTCTGAAACATAATAAGAAAATTTTTAGTTATAAAAATGATTAAAACTAAATGATTTTTAAAAGATTTTATAAAATTTTGTAGGTTTTAAGTTTTTTTGAATTTTTACCCAAGCAATAAAATATTTAGAGGGCATATAATTTTTAAGATGTATCGTGCCTATTTTCATCAATAAAATAATGTGCGTATAAGTTTTAATGCAAAATATTATTAGTTTTGACAATTTAAGTTATATTTTTTAATTTTACTCTGAGGTGGCCTTTATTACTTTGTAAGTACCATTTTGTAAAATATAAATTAAAAGAACAAGAAATTACGAATGTCAATGTTTTAGAAAGAGCAAAAAGTTAGTAATTATAGCGATATTTTTACGTAAATTTGTGGTATTTATATTGTTTTTATTAAATTATTCTCTTAGTAGATCAAAAAGGTTATTATGTAGGTAAAATAACGAAATAAACCATTCCCCAAATTTGGTAATTTTTCGTACCTTTACCGTTATAAAACCGTTTTGGTTAACCGTAATACTTTAAAGTTGATTTAGTAGTAAATTTGTAGTATTTATGTAGTAGTAGTAGTTATAAAAACACTGGTACATACATAGGTATATATTTTTATATTGCAGTAATAATACTGAGTACATTTTTTTTCACTAAATTGTTGCAAAAATCTTAGCAATATTTCAGTATTGTTTAAGTACATGTTTATTTGTTTAACAAGGTTAGAATAGAACCAAAATAGTTTTATCTCGTTGGTAATGTGGGTAAAACAATAAAAATGTATACATAATATATTAATTGTGTGTATATTATTTGTAAAACTGCGCAATTGAATTAATTTTATCAAATATGTCAACAAATATAAACGTTTAAATATGTACCCACAAAACAACAATAATTTACTTAATAATATTAGTTATATTTATTTTTATTCTTGTTAAATTTGGTTCAAGGGTTTGTAAGTATTTAATATTTTATGTGAAATGCAAAGAAACGGAAGTTGTAGTAGTGCACATACAAGATAATATAAATTTAGTCAAAGTTAAAATCTTTTATTTTTTTGAACATTTTAATTTTATATGCAATTATCTTGTTAAATCACATATATGTATTTTTATAGGCCTTAAGGCCTATAGGACCTAAAATAGATTCAATCTTAAAATTGTTTTACAGTGAAGTGGGTTAAAGTTACGAAATATATCAGTAAGTGTTGTGGTAGTACTGATAATTACATATATTGTACCAAATTTCTTTATAATTTGATGATTTTAGAATGGTACACCATGTTATTTAATTGTGGATAATAGGAAATTGATTAATCTTATCAAAATTCTTTTATTTTCCCAATTTTCAACAAATACTTTTGTTACTGGGTCTCCAAAAAGTTTTGTAAAAATAAGGTCCTTTTATAAATATTCAAAAATTGTAAATTGTAAACTTAAAATAGAGTTATGTGGACCTAGATTAACATTAAATCTGGTTAATATTTGGTTAAAATTAAAAAATATTTTTTTACTGTGTAATAAAAGTATTCATGAGCGTGTCTTTTAAATGCAACTCTGACGATACGTTATTTTAATTATTCACTTAACAGTGTATCGTAGTTTGACCTCCATTTAACGCACTATACACGCTTCATTACGAACTTAAAACCAAATTAAAAATTTTATACAGTTTGGTTCTCACTTATGAAAATATATTTCACAGTAGAGTGAAAAATTAAGAACAGTTTATTTTTGAATTTTTATTAATTTAAAATTTTAGTTTTATAATCTGACGTTACAAAACTACTTATGGTGTATGGAATTTTTTCTACTCCCACCTTTAAAACGCCCTTTATCGTACACGTTTCCATGACACTAAGTGACCTTTTAAATACACATTGACAAGTTGCGGCTTTATAGCGCTTTAGTCACGGGCTGAAGTTAGCAAAATGCCAAATGTCGTACAATCGTTAAAATAAAGTGCCTTTCTTGTAAAATAATACTAAATGTGAAAATTATTTTATTATCTCAATACAAAAATACAAAAGTATTAAATAGTTTCTCAACGCCAATATTTAAAAAGTTTATGAACATTGTACTGACCTTTTAATTCGCCGGCAGTAAACTATAACTTAAATTCGGGCACGGACTCTACTGTAAAGTCCTCATAAAACATTTTATTTACTTTCACTGTGAAAAACTGTCAATTTTCAGGAAATACATTTCGATTTATAACCTTTATAATTGTGTTTATAAAATAAAAAAATGTGACATTTGACGGTGACACACAGTTTCCCCTATTGTTTCATAGATGGCGCTGTATACAAATTTTTGATTTAAATCATTTTAAGATAATAATAAGTATTTGTTGTAGAAAAAGTATAGTATGCACCTTGTTTATAAACTTTTCTATAAAATGGCGTTTATCAAACTTGATACATAATATACTATAAAATGTTAATAGTTAAGTCATGCGGAGTTACTTATAAATATAAAATTTTAAACAAATGATTTACGTCGTCGTAAATTTTGTATTTTAATTAATTTTTTTTTATGTTTCAGGTTTTTACGCAATATGTGGAGAGAGGAATTGCTGCTTTAATAATATAACTAACTGAGTTGGTAAGTTTTTTCGCTATTAAATTATCGTTAAATTTCTAGGACGGACATTAATTTTATTAAAGTTATTAAATATAATTACTTGTCTTGTCTTGGCTATTTAATTACTGCATGTAAATTAATTGTCTATGACTGTCTATTATTTTGTTGTATTTTATATTATTTTATGTTTCAATATTTCAAGATGTTTGGAAATTTCCTATAAATGCATCCTTAACCAAATATTAAACAGATTGTATGTTAATCCATGTCCACATAACTTTATTTTAAGTTTAACAAAACATTAAATATTGAAATTAAATTATATATTGAATATTAAACCATAAATATTGAACATTGAAGAAATTAAAAGTTTTATTTTGTTGTAATAAGCATAGGTTTCAAAAAATTCTGGCTCCTTCTTTGTTTTTGTTGGTTTCGTATTCCGTTTCTCGTATGAGGGACCAAATGTAATCACCCATCATGGCTGCATCCCAGAAGCCGTGATACCGCCGCTCCATAGCCTTCATTTGCTGGTGAAAACGTTCTCCGTGCTCATCACTTACGTCGCCCAGATTGTGCGGGTTATTTACGCACTCGAACTCTCTACTTCTTTTACTCATTTTACACTTTTTATTAACTAAATAAAACCATGATAAAAATACCTTGTTGAAATATCAAAAAATATCAGTAAAATGTCACTATGCCAACACGAGAAACAAAAGAATTCACGTTTGCGGAGTCATGTCAAATTTAAATTTTGAATAATGTTTTCGGTTAAAAAAGTACGTAAAAAAGTCAAAAAATCCCAATCATGCACTTTACTTAGGTTTTCATTAAAGAATAAACATATTACAAAATAAAAGAACAAAATAAAATAAAAATCGTCAAAAAGCTGAATTTTGGTCTTCCCATAAAAAAATCATAACTTCGCCATTTTTCCATGTATTTTTATTAACATTAGCTTGTTTTTTTTGTAAAAATTTTAGCTTCGCGAAAAAAAATTAAACTGGAGTTATCTGTTTAATTAAAACCTTTACCAGGACGATATGTAAATTTTCGACCTCAATTTTTGCCATAAAAACGAATTTTTTAAGTTATTAAAATAGCTAGCGTCAAAATACTTATCCGATATCAAAAGTATGTAAAAGAAAGTTTTAAAGGCCTGTAACGAACGGGGGATGGGGGGCACACATTAATAATTAAAAAGAATATTAAAACCACAAAAAAACTACCTTTGGCCAAAACACGTGATCGTCTAGTTTAAAGAAATTAAGTTAGGACCCCTTTTTGTTGTGAATACGGTTCTGGATACGTAAGTACTTGAGCAATTGAAAAGATATTTAAAAAGCAAAGAAAAAGTATTAAATTAAAATAAGTTTATTAATAAAGACAATTAATACAAGAGTTAATTATTGTTACTGTACATTAATAATCTAAATAAAAACATTTGTATTTGAAAAGTATGATAGATTTAAGTTAATAAGGTAAAACCTTAAAAACCCACATATACAATACAGACATGCATATATGTCGCACATCTCAACAATATAAATAATACAACAAAATCAAAGTAATCAATATGAATATAATAAATTATATTATCATATTGCTAAGATTATTCACCTACATAAATGATAGGCTCGGACGGTGTAGAAAAACAAATACACATTGAAACAATTATCAATGTACAGCAGCAAACAACAATAATGTGAAACAAAGTATAATATAACTTAGGTCACAAGCAACAATAATAAATGGTATTTGTATAAATAAAATATATGAATAACAAGTGGTGTAGTGGTGGACAAGAGTTATGCAATAAAATTGATGTACAGTCATAAATGATAAATAAAATCAGGTATGATAGTAATAGAATTATGTCAGTGCAAATCAAATATAGCAAAATAAAATGATTATCAATAATAATAAAATAAGACCATAAAACAACAACTTCATATCAATATCCCTATCTAACCATTCTTTGTCTAAATTGGTTACCTGGCATTATTGGCCATTGGGTGCGCCTGTCAAAGCAGAGCTGTATCCACCATCCTATTACCAGCAACCGGCAACAAAGTTCCCTAACTAAATAACTCATTTGATATGCAGAACTTGAAACAAGTCTCACCATATTAAATAATGAATATCAATTTATCAAATAAATAAAATAAGATAAACTGTACAAAATCAAGTATGTAAATGTTAAATATAAATATGTAGTAAAATGTAACATTACAATACAATATAATATGTTAAAGTAAATGTAACATAAAATAATGATTATGATTTGATTGTCCAACCACCAACATTAAGATAAAATTCAGCTTACTCTGTCTCTCACATAGAACAAGTTGAAATAATAATAATAAAATATAGTTTAAATTAAATATTAAATAATTAACCACTCATTATGATATTTGTGACCTCAGCTTATAATAACTAAATATAGAAAAGACATACCTATTTAAATAACCAACACTTTCACTAAACTGAATTTATATAAAAAAACAATGTAATATTTGTTAAATTCACTCCCTGATAAAGTTAAAGAATTCAATAGTAAAACGTAACTCTCCCTTCAAATAACAAAAACCAACTGTCTACTTCAAATAACAAAACTCAACTAACTAAAAAAATTCTGTCCTCTCTAGGTTTTTAACACGCTCTTTTTATGTTTATTTTTTAAAGACCAGCAACATGAACCAAAACTTGCTTATTTCGTCTTTCTGTAACGAACCCTTAAGTGGTCGTCCAGATGGGAGTCATAAATTAATATTGTATAATAAACAAATAAAGAATGTATGGAAGTGAAACTTATACCTAACACCTAATACAATTTTAAAAACAAATATTTAAAATTAGTCTCATATTTCGTAAAGCTTAAAAATAATAAATTAAGAAAAGTTAAAAATTAACTGCCCCGTATATCGTACCATTACAGACGCCCCTTTGAAAGGTTGTCAAATGACATAAGGAGGCTTGTCAAGCTTTTAACATCCCTAAACCTTGGTAACTAAACCTAAATACGACCCTGTCCTCCATATCATATTGGGCTGAGTACGCCCCTGCTCACTACTGGTCCTTTGGGCTGAGTGCGCCCCTGCTCACTGCTGATCCTTTGGGCTGAGTGCGCCCCTGCTCACTGCTGATCCTTTGGGCTGAGTGCGCCCCTGCTCACTACTGGTCCTTATCTGCTGGGTGCGCGGCGCACCGTGCGCCCCTTCTCTGTGCATCTCCACATTTATACGTCATCACATAGGTATATCATAGCTCCCATCAAATACATTTAAAATACATAAAAAATAAAAGAAAGACTAATCAGAAAATAAACTTAAAATAAATAAACATTGTCAAAAATATACAATAGAAGTGTAAAGTCAAACGTCAACGTAACATGTCAATGGTTAATAATGTTAACAATGTTATTATATTAATTTGTCGGTACATAAAGAAAAAATTAATAAAACAAAAAATTAATAATAAAATTTAAAATAAAAATAAACATGACACACCTGATCAAAATTAAATCATCCTTGATTATCGCCAACATCATTGTCATCATGACAGTCCTATCAATTGCAGTTGAAGTTCTCATCATCCAGTAGTTCCAGTTTAGCACATTCCAAAATTATTTTACATTTGGTAATTATATCATCAAATATTCCTTGGTAAAACTCAGGTCGTCATTCAATCAAAGTGGTTGCATAAAAATAAAAATAAAAAAAAGCAGTAAAATCATAACATAAAAATAAAAATTTATCTAATCAAATGCCCAGTACTTTTTAAAAACGTATCCTCCAGTAAGCAGCAACAATTTGTGCTGAAAAGCACAGCAAATTTTGTAGTAACCCAGACAAAATTATTAACAAGAAGGTACTATAAAAAACAAACTATTAAGATGGCTGAAAATAAAATAAGGAAAGCAGGAATTCTGTATTTTATGAAAACGAAACAAAATTAAACCCAGTTAAACAAAAATTATTTTACCACACTGTGCGAAAATCATAAATCTGTCAACCGGACCAACATCAAACCCATATCATCAATTTGGCGAAACAAGAGATAAACAAAAAGAACTTTTAACACCCTTGACACATGGTAACACAAGAAATACAAAATACAACTAAAATAAATAGACAAACTTTTAATCACCTAACATCAAGTGACGGGAACACGAATACAAAATAAAAATTAAATGAACAATACAAAATCCTAGAAAATGGTACCTATTAATTTTTCGTGAGCCGGACATAACAAAAAATAGCACAACATAGCAAGACATAACATAGCATTAATAAACATTTTATAATATAACATAACACAACATACCATAGCAAAAATAACAAAACATGGCAAAACATAACACATAGCAAAATAAAAACCAAACATATCAAATCATAGCAAATCATAGCAAAACATAACATAACATAGCAAATCATAGCAAAACAACAAATCATAGCAAAGTCAATTCATAATTATAACATGCGAACATTCAGGTTAAATAAATCATGCAAAAAAAAATCGGTTAAACAAAATAAAACCAATATAAAATAAAACAAATATCAAATAAAATAAATCCTAGTTATTAGGAATGAATTGGCAAGAACAAATCAACAAAAATAAAAAAAACAATATTAGACCAAACGAATCCTGGTTATTTGACATTAATTATAAATAAATTAGCAAAATCCTGGTCACATGACACCAATTTGTAACGAACGGGGCAAGGGGGGCACACATTAATAATTAAAAAGAATATTAAAACCACAAAAAAACTACCTTTGGCCAAAACACGTGATCGTCTAGTTTAAAGAAATTAAGTTAGGACCCCTTTTTGTTGTGAATACGGTTCTGGATACGTAAGTACTTGAGCAATTAAAAAGATATTTAAAAAGCAAAGAAAAAGTATTAAATTAAAATAAGTTTATTAATAAAGACAATTAATACAAGAGTTAATTATTGTTACTGTACATTAATAATCTAAATAAAAACATTTGTATTTGAAAAGTATGATAGATTTA